TCGGCCAAAATTGGGTTTGTCAATTTTCATTGTCTACGATTTCTTTCATCAATCATAATACCCCTACCTCCGTTACTATTACCATTTCCTCTACCTTCATGGCCTCGCTGATTACCTCCTTGCCCACCTTGTGGACGTCCTCTCCCATTATTACCATTCCCCGCGGGTACCACTGCTCTAGACTGCTGCTGCTGCGTGGAATCTAACACACGTGGGTGGGGACAATCTCTCCTCATGTGTCCAGGTTCACGAACGTATTCGAAAAGTTTCAATAGGCAAATATTTATGCATGTATTTGACGCATTATTGATGTATCTGATACATTATTGAGGTATAATTATATGTATCTAGTTTTTATCGGTGTATCTTAGTAAGTGTGTATGTATGTAATGAATATATTGGAGATTTACGTATTATTGAATTTTACACATGTATTTGACACAATTTGTTTTGTCATGTATCCAAGTCTTGTCATATGTATCAGATTTTCTATCATGTATCTTAATATAATCATATATATTTGTTATGTTATTACAATGTATCTAACTATTTTTGTATTTATCTGAGATACATATTTTTGGATATAACGTATGAAATTGATACTTGATACATCAAATTATACATATAAAATATACATGAAATAATATTAAATCATATAAATAGATACATGAAATTAATATTAGATCATATAAATAGATACATGAAATTAATTCTAGATACTTTTATGATACATATGAATGTACTTGTATGATATTCATGTATCTAAATGTTTAGTTTGTTGGATACATTATATATTGATAGTAGATATATTAAATTAATGAATTTATTATTTTAAGAGTAATAAAATGAAATTAATCAAATTACATGACCAAGATATACATGTTTTTTTGTCTGTTATTAATAATATTAATGAATTTATTATTTCAAAAAATAATAAAATGAAATTAATTAAACATAAATACATTCCTTGATTTCTGCCTTATATTAAGGAATTTAATTAATTTAAATTTTCAGAATTAATTATCTGTGTATTTTGAAAATTCTCATTACTCCTCTAATTAAGGAAATATGTTACAACCAATTAATTAAAATAAATAAAATATGTATCTCGATTTTAAAATTTGACAGATATATGTATCTCGCGGATTCAGACTCATATATCCTAAGTACAAAATATGGTAGAGAAAGTAATATTGTAAACTAGTGAAAATCTTAGTAATTAAGACCTAAACTAGTGAAATTTATGTAGTTTGTCATTTTTTGAACGTCCTCATTTGATAGGAAAGGTTGATTAGTAGATTCTGACTAGTATTTTTATTTCTTCCTAAAAAACTGCCTAAGAAACTGAGATGAAAGAATATCGACAATTGTTCAATAAATTGTATCTTTAGTCGTAGTAGGACTCTCAAATCCAGACATTGACTTTCAAAATTGTTGTCTAAATAAAAATGAACAAAGGAAAAATACAGAGTTAAAGAAGGACAAGGATATAATTGTAAAGGAAAGTTTTTAATACCTGTATAACTAATACATGCATAACTCTATCCAACTATCAAACGACCCCTTAGTGTTAAATGTTACCTAATGAAACAAAAATGTTCTTATATTAATAAATTATAGTATATCATTGTTAGAACCACAATCCTTGTTTATTTTCTTTTAAAAATTACTTTAATTAATAAATAAGTAGAAAATATATTTTATTTCTTCTAAATCTCACTTCAACAATTAAAATAGAATAACTCTGTGTAGCTTTTAAATTGATAATATAGGTCATATATATAATATTATAGTAACTCATTATGAATTTTCTTTCCCATAACGATAAAAAAAATTCCTAATAAAATAGAAAATATTCCTATTTCGTAATCTTTTCCAAATTTAAGTAGACAAGTATTTTCTGATTAGAAAAAGAATGCATCTCAATAATAATAATAATAATATAATAACAATAATTAAATTAAAAATATAACAAAAATTATGAATTTAAAAGGTTGACTTAAACCTTTTTACTTGTTCTTGAAATATCTTCTCAATCTGTTAGATTTATGAAAAAGAGTAACACAATAAATTAAGTTATAAAGTCATGCAAATTTTAATTTTTTTTTTAGATAAATTAAAGACAATAACATATATAGTAAAAACATATAAAGGGATAACACATAAAATTAACAATGTAAGCTATTTTAATCTATTTATATACCTAAGTATATACTATAAATAAACCAGCATAATAAGTACAATTCATATCACAACAATCATATACAAAAATGAAGCTACTATAATGATTTTTACAACGAAAATCTTAATTTTTTGAACTTTTTGCATTGCATTGGTTCCGTTTGATCTTGAAATTAACTCAAAAGAGCATTATTGATAAGTATAAAAATTACTTTGTGTCCATTCTTCAGCTAGGTTTATTAAATCTAATTTGATTATTTTAGCCAACAACTTTCGTAGTTGTCTGGACAACTGCTGAAGTTGTTTGTAGAAATAAATAAACATCTCTGTCAAATATAGAAATTGTCTAACAACAGTCTATAGCTATCGGACGATTATAGAAGTTGTCCAACAACTGTTTGTAGTTATCGGACGATTATAGAAGTTTTCCCAACAACTACTGCAGTTGTTTGACAGTTGTGTTCAGTTGTTGGTCAACGGATTAGTTTTTAGGACAAGTAATATAATTGTGGGCAAAGTATTAATTGTTGAAATAAATAATTGAAGAATTATAGCAGTCTCCAAAGCTACTAAACTTTTATGCCAATTGTTGATAGTTGTGAGGTAACTAAATAGATGTAAAACAAGTAATCAATGTTCTTTTGCAATTTTGCAGTTCTTTGATGAATGTCTTACTTGTGATGTCTCCAGGTATTGTTTCCCTCTATGGAAGACCATATAATAATAGGAGTTGATTTACATGGTGAATGGGTGGAGAATCCTACTCGTTATACTTGGCGTTCGAAGGGCCGAGAGACAGTACCGATAAAGATAAGCGAGAATGTTACGTACGATGAATTGGTTGACATCATTGTTTCTAGGTTTGAATTAGATTGTGATAAAAATGATCTCTCTATTAGTTACATGCTTGGCTTTATTGAAAAGCAAAAAGGAGCTCCTTCTAGGATAAGAAACGATCTTGATTTGCGATTTTTTTTGGATGATCAAAGTAGGCCAATTTTAAGGATATCTGTGGTTGAGAAGATTATAGAGACTACAAATTCAGTTGTAAATGATGAAGAGCATCCTGTTACAATGGATATTCCTATAAATGAGGAAGCTTCACTACATTCGATATCAACACAAGGTAGCCGCTACACAGATGATGACAGCACCGATTTTTATAAGGGTAAAATTTTCAAGGACAAGCAAGAATTAACTAAATTGTTGAAGCTTGCTTCCGTGAAGAAAGATCAAACATTCAAATCTGTGAAGAGTTCTAAAGATGTATATTGTGCTAGATGTGTAGATCAGAATTGTGATTGGTGGTTGCGAGCTACAAAACTTAAAAGTTGTAATAGATTTGAAATTACAAAGTATCGCAACATTCACTCATGTGGGGCACAACACCTTACAAGTCATCATCCACATGCCTCAGCAGATGTCATTGCAGAATACATACAACCTAATTACTTGAATGGAAAAGGTCCCTCCACAAAATACATAAAAAATATAGTGCAAGCAGATTTGGGCTGCAAGATTAGTTACTGAAAGTGTTGAAAAAGCAGTGAGATAGCAAAGGCTATGATAAGTGGGACACCGGAGCACGGATATGCAGTTCTAGATGGTTATCGTCATATGCTTATGACTATAAATGAAGGAAGCAAGACATCGTTAAAGCTTGATGACAAGGGAAGGTTCAAATATTTTTTTGCATCTTATGGAGCTTGGATTATGGGGTTTGTGCATATGAGAAAAGTTTTAGCCGTTGATGGAACATTCTTAAGAGGTAGTTACGATGGAGTTTTGTTGTCTGCTGTCCACAGGATACAGAAAATCATGTTTTTCCTGTTGCATTTTGTATAGTAGATAAGGAATGTGATGCCGCGTATGAGTACTTTTTTGAGAAATTGTTGGACATAGTCCCTGATACTTCAGAGTTGTGCATTATTTCTGATAGGCATCCAAGCATAGAAAAAACACTATCAAAATTTTACTCTGAAGCATACCATGGATGTTGCACGAGGCATCTTGGTGAAAATGCCCGTAAAAAATTTCATTGTGGAGCTTTTCTTGGACATTATTACCATGCAACAAAAGCATATCGGAGAGATGTGTTCCATGACCATTTTGAACAAATCCGAATTATCAATGCGGAGGTCGCTGATTATCTTGAGAATGTTGGGTTTCACAAATGGAGTAGAACATATTTTCCAGGAAACAGGTAATCTTTCTTACTAGTTCAAACATAAATATTGCAGGTCTCTAACAATTGTTGTAGTTGTTGGAATAATTAGTATAGTTGTTCGAACAATTATTGTAGTTGTTGGGACAATTATTATAGTCGTTAGAACAATTATTATAGTTGTTGGACAACTTTCATAGTTGTTTCATCAGCTGCAGAAGTTGTGGGACATTAAAAACAGTTGTTTTCAAAACTACAATAGTTATTAAAAATCTGCAATAGTTTGTATTTTAATTTTTGATATTTTTGAATTTTTATATTTCAGATATGATGTATTGACCTCAAATATTGCTGAGTCTGTTAATGCAATGTTCAATGAAGCAAGAGAATTTCCCATTATTGCCTTGTTCAATGATATAAGCAAGAGATGGTCGGAAAAATTTCATAAGAGAAGAATGGCATACGCCAAGTTAAAAACCACCTTCGTTCCTTTAGCTGAAACTAAAATAATGGCTAATAAGAATCTGGGAAATAAATTATTGGTCCATCAAATTGATGAAGACACCTTCAGCGTCACCGCGGACAATGGAATCGCAATGGTCCATCTTCGAAGTAAAATATGTTCGTGTCGAGAGTTTGACTTGGATAAAATACCCTGTCAACATGCTATGGCTGCGCTCAGACACAAATTTGGAGATGAATATGGCAAGATGATTTATGAGTACTCTTCTCCGTATTATAAGGTAGAGTCATATATACTTGCATATGCAGATCCAATCTATCCAGTGCCAGCTGAAGAATTTTGGAATCTTCCT